ATAATCAGGAGTGACCAGACCAAAATAGTTTCACAACCATAAACTCTACCTTTTTGGAGAGGGGTGAACAAGGCCTATAGCAACAAGAATGCCATCCCCACTGTTAAGCATGCTGGTAGCTCACTTATGCTTTGAAGGTGTGAGCTCTAAAGGCACAGGGAACCTTGCGAAAATTGATGGCAAGGTGAATGCAGCATGTTATCAGAAAATATTTGCAGACTATTTGCATTCTTCTGCATGAAAACAGTGCACGGGACGCCCTTGAACTTTCCAGCATGACAATGGCCCGCAGCACAAGACCAAGTTGGCCACTCTAGAACCTTCACCTTTTTCTGCTGTAACCACTGGAGTGGTCATCAGTCTCCTTAATATAAGCCAGTCTGGGGAGATTTCAAACTTGCAGTTCACGCAAGATGACCAAATATTTCACATGACATGAAGGCATTTTGCCAAGACAAAGGAGCGGCTATACCACCAAGAATTCAGGGCCTCATAGACTATTACAAAAGACTGCACGCTGTCATTGATGCTAAAGGGAACAATACACAGTATTGAACTAGGGGTATGCAGATTTTTGATTGTGCCATTCTGTTATGACCTACAGTTGAATATGAATCCTTTGAGTGAGCAGACAAAACATCTAATTTCTTGTTTTGCTATGGTACATACTGTATATTATGTTTGCTAAAAGTTTACATACTCTTGGATAATTGGTAAGTACTTTAAAACTGTATACAAATATGTAAACTTGAAAGAAACTGACCCAAAACATTCCATTCACTATTTTTTTTTTCACCCACTCAAGTATGTGCTGTGGTTGAAAGATTGCACGTGTATTGGCTTCTATGGGGATACCTAATTTGCCAAAAAAGTGGACCTTTTTGGCCAAAGCATGGGGATATCTCCTGTACACAGCATATCAGTTTTTGGCTTTTAGAAGACCTGATTTTTTTTGCATGGTACAAGGTGTGTTTATGGAAATCCTTTTTTTTTTTTTTTTTTTTTTTTTTTTTTTTTTTTTTTTTTTAAATTCTGCCAGTTGGATTTGCTGTCTTCTACAGGCCTGTCCTTTTCAGCAGGATACTTTTTTATTTTTCTGTTTGCACACCATAATAAATTTCAGCTAACCACCTATAGCAGCGCTTGCCTTGTCTCTGGTCATGCCTTACCAATACACTTTTCCTGAAGTCTAATCCCTGGTTCACATGTATGCAAATTGGATGCGTTCTTTGTACTGCATCCAATTCGCATGATATGTGAACCAAAATAGCACTCTATGGAGTTGGCAGTGCAATTTATTTTATTTTATTTTTTTGTGTCCGGTTCAGATGTGATTTTCAAGTGTCATACACTTAATAAAAAAAAAAAAAATATATTCACTCCTGACCTGCTAAACGAAATCGCACCAGACTCCTTTTACAAGTCGCACTGAAACCAATCCCACACATGTGAACCTGGTCTTAGACTCTAAAATGAGGACAATGTTACTCAGAAACATATTAGCACCTGCAATGTTTGCTTTTAATGCTAAAAAGCATACTAGTGTCACGCTAGTGCTTTTGTCCATTCAGAGCAAGTAGGTTAGTATGCTTTAACCCCCCCCCAGCATTAACATGGTTTCTTTGCTCTCTTAGGTCTCCATTCAGTGGCGGGAGCTGTGAGGTCTGACAAACTCCAAAAGGGGTGGACTGAATGGGCAGGTCATACTAAACAATGCTACCCTCATTTTCTCCAAACCTCAAAAGTCCTTAAAAATGGTAACATTTAAATCTCATGGCAATGCTTAATGTGGTTGAAACCACTCGCATATACCCAATGAAGTGACTAGCATCAGGTGATACACAGATGAAACAAATCATCCTACACAAATTGCAGCTGCATCTGCAGCCATCTCTTCTGTAGATCGTTCTAAAAAATAAAAGGATTTTGTCTCGGTGTAGATTTTGGTGAAGGGAGCTCTGATCCCTGATTGGAGAATTTTTTATTTTTTCTCGTGTTGGGAAAACCTGTCGGATAACATGAATGAGCAGCTGAGAGAAATCACACTCTGTGCTTTGGATAGAGAAGTACACAGCGTAGAAGGGGTGTGCTTTGCTCATATTTCATGTCTGAATTTTACAACCACTTTAAGCCATACCATGCTTAAAACACATTTTCATGTTGGAATGCAGAGACCTATAAACATTACAGCCCAGGATCTTCAAAAAAAAAACTTTACTGTGGCCCTGTTGTAGTACATGGTTAAATTGTAAACCAGTCTAGAGAATAGTTTGAGGCATACACATCTGTCATGACTGGCTGTATTGACCTGTTTGACTGGAAATTGATCTCCCAGAGCCAAACTTTTTTTATTCTTCTTGCTGTAATGGAACTACTTTCATGAAGTGTGGTTAAAGGGTAAGTTAACCTTTTTGTAACATGTTACATCTGTATTCGGGGTATAATGTTGTTGCTGCAGACATCGCTGTGGCAAAAACCCTGCGGACTTGAGTATTTTTTTTTTATTTATTTTTTTTTTTTAAGTTTACAGATTATAATATTAAATTACAGTATTTGTAATTTTCTGTAACCTTTTCATGCACTGTTTAAGGCCACATTTATACTTGCAAATTGACGTGACGTGTACATGAGAAATCCAAACAGTGTGGCCAGGGCCAATCGGTAACAGGTGGTTGCTGCATAGCAATTACATAACTGCTGCAGTTAGCTGTGGGAGCTGGTAGCCTCCCAATGCTTTCAATTGGTCTAATCGCCGGGACCCCCTCACTGGGTTTCTTGCATATATACTGTCTGTTCCATACAAAAGTGTGAATGTCCATTATACAAAATCATGGTGCTACAACCTATGGACTCCCTATAAATTATAGGAGTTACTTCACCTGTACGGAGACCACAGCCAGACACGCTGTTGAAACATACATCCAGTACAGAAAGACCAGCACCCAGGCGTTCAGTGCATATAAAATCTTATTATAAACCCATAGGGACAAAAAATTAATTACTCAATATATACAGACGTGTTTCTGCCCTTACGGGCTTTAAGCTGGCCATAAATTGATCAAATCTCAGCTGGTCCAGCAGTGACTGGCCAAGATTTGATCCATCTATGGGCAGGCCGGTTGTGCTGAAGTCTATCATAGCTCATCTTCAGTACATCAATTGACTTCAGTATACCGGTCAGATTTTTTTTGCATGTAACCACTGCCAGTGGCTATAACCACCAGCCGTTATTGTGTTCCCCACAGGCAGAACAAAATAGTGCTGTGGGAGCGATTCCCCCATCAACGCTGTCTGTGGTGATGGAGGATTCGAACAATTTTCTTTTCTTCCATCTGAGGTGGAAAGAAAGCAAATTGCTTAATCTATGGGCTGCTGAAGTCATAGCCACAACTTTTTATGAACTGAATGGCTGGGTGCCGACCTTTCTCTACTTGGACAAAAGTGAATGTAACCTTCAACAATAGTTTCAAATCGTTAAAGCTCTGAATGCTTCATTTGGAAATTAAGACATTTACCTCTAAAGAAGCTAATGTAGTGTAAACTGTTACATTTCTTTCTAGGTGTGGCAGTGATGGATGTAGCCATCTGAACCCTCTTGTATTGAGTGGTATTGTAGCTGTACTTTCCCCAGTGATTTTATACTAGGGCTTAGATCAGGGGTCCTCAAACTATGGAACTACAGTGTGCGAGCCAGATATGGCCCACCAAAGTCAATTATCCAGCCCACCCATTAGCCAAAACGAGGAGGGGTGGGCGAGTGACCTGGGCGCTTCCCCCCAGAAGAAGTGGTAGGAACGGGGACCTGGTGAGGCGGCTGCGTGCTGCTGGAGGGTGTGGGGATGGCATGCTGCTGCTTTTGCAGGTTAGTACTTTTTACTTTCCAACTGCCTCCATATACCCAGAGAAGGAGCGGCTGATCGGCTGCTATGAGGGGAAGGCAGTGAAGGAGTTGATGCTGGTGGTGGCTGTGCTACAGAGCCTGGAGGCAGCCTGTACAGAGCCACCAGCTGGAGCTACTGAGAGGGCAAATAGCAGCTCATCACCCAGTACAAGCAAAAGGTGCTGAGGAAGCATGCCCAGGAGGCACCGATCCATAATACACCTCCCCCTAAATGGTTGGGTAGTGGGGGAGGTGTATTATAGATCTGTATGTAGATGGAGGTGTATTGTAGGCTAAGGGTTTAGTCTTAACCCTACAATACACCTCCCCCAGTATCTACCTACAGTACACCTCCCCCCTATCACCCAATACGAACAGTACACTCCCCACCTACTGATCTACAATACATCCCCCCCAGTAATGACCTACAATAACCTCCCAATTTACAGTACACCTCATGTACAATACACCTCCCCAGCAGTGTATTTACCATGAGGCAAACTCCTTATTTGGTGGAGGATGGAGGTGACGGGGAGGCTTGGTGCCTGATTCTTGTGTTGCCTAGGGCAGCACCAGAAATTAATACACCACTGCTGGGCGCAAGAATATACTGGGGAGGGGAGACTATGCTGAAGCCTCAAGTGTGCAGTCTGTATGCAGGACTGGTGACCAGTACATAAATGGCTGCCTTCTCCTGTCTGTAGACCTGCTGAGCTGTGTGCCAAGTATGCCCCTGCACCGGCATATATGTAGGAGTTCATTCATATTTTTTTCAAACTATAGATTGTCCCTTAACTGTATGAGGTACAGTGAACTGGCCCCCTGTTTAAAAAGTTTGAGGACCCCTGGCTTAGACTGTTGTCCCATGTGCTAGAAATCTCTGCACAGGGTGAGAATTGTATTCATCACATACAGTACATCTGGGTGGGTGTTGGCGTTTGTAGATGTATGTAGCTTACAGCATTAGCCTGCACTTGTCCAGAAAGTCCATAGTGCTATATAGGTATCCGTGTCTCCTAGCTTACACAGCTTTCTTTTCCCAATGGCTAAACAAAATTCCACATGCAAAGTCTCAAGTTAGTTGGCAGGTTTATTATAATGTGTGATTTTGTTTATGCAGATCGGAAAGGGAGCCAGGTATTCACCCTCGTACGCCCAACAAATATAGGAAATATAGTCGGCGATCATGGGACATGCAGATTAAACTTTGGAGGCGTGCTCTTCATGCTTGGGATCCCCCTGAAGAGCTGTCATCTGAGTAAGTCTCCCATTCATGTTTACCAAGGTCTTGATGACTTTAAAAATGCCCTTGTTTTATGAAAAGTCATGTGATTTGTTTTTTTTTTTTTAACCGCCGTTTGATCAGTGGGTGCTGCAAGGGTGGTAAATGACCTGGGGCACCAGGAAAAAGGTTAATAGCTTAAGGAGTACTAAAATATGGGTGTATTTAGGATGCATAGCTAGAGACCCTTACTAATTTGTGGTTTGTGTTGGTAAGCTAGTGGATAGAAATCTAGTTTTGTTTGGAAACCTGGGTACAGTGTGTTGTCAGTTTACATCATTTTTAACTGGGTACTGACTGTCGATAATGTCCTGAAAGTGGAATGAGAGAATTTTGAATTGGTGACTGTACAACATGTTGCACACAATCTGAAATGATCACAAGTGTCTTATCAATTGTTCTCAATTGGGGGGCTTTCAAGATGCTTTGATATTGAGTTGCATGTGCACTTACTGTGACGATCCCAGGATCGCTGCCACCAATATGTGACGATCGCTGCCACCAATATGTGACGAACGTGGCGTCAGACCCCAGCCCTTCTCACCAAACTCGTGGCTGAAGGACTAGCCAATCTAAAACTGCGATGTCACGTGCGTAACAATGCCACACCCAGCTGCACCCTTCACAATGATTTTCCAGCTAATTGGACCACAATCTGTGTACCAGCAGCCTGAATGCGATTGTTACTGGGTCAGGTTAATTACGCAATTAACCCTTCACACTGCCACCTCCTTTTTGTACAGAGGAAACTCTGCGATATCAGCTATAACAATATAATGGTTGAGATAATCGTCTGTATAACGTGGTCACCACAGGCCGGTTATACAGAGGGTTATACAAACACAGTAGCACTCTTTTAGAGGAAGGAATTTGTTTTTTGCAATAAAGAGCTATGGGTTAGCAGATCAAGTTTCAGAGCGAAAGGGTGCGGGTCTCCCCAGGTGGTTCTGAGAAAAAGGGAGAATTCTTCAACGCACACTCCGCTCCTCACAAGACCTCCTTCTCTCTAGTTCCCTGGTCTCCTCCTCCCATGCCCGCCTCCAGGACTTCTCCAGGGTGTCACCCATCCTCTGGAACTCCCTGCCCCAACCCATCAGATTATCACCTACTCTCCTCTCCTTTAGGCGCACCCTGAAAACCCATCTCTTCAGGGAAGCCTACCTCACCCCCTGCTAACTTGCTGACCTCCTCCACTCTTCCTACCACTCCATCCCCCACAGCTATCTCCTCTCCATCCCTTCTAGATTGTAAGCTCGAAAGAGCAGGGCCCTCGATCCCCTCATGTTTTGCATTGTATTGGTATTGTTCTGTCACATGTTCTGTCCCCCTTTGTAATGTACAGCGCTGAGTGAACTATTGGCGCTTTATAAATACTGTATAATAATAATAATAATAATAATAACTTACTTTCTTAGGCCTAACAGCTCATTTTGTAGTTCCCCAGCAGGGGGTGTCTCTGAAGTCACGGACCAATACCCCATTTAGGGCTGGAAGGTCTGGGCGTAGACTTAAACTAGAGCCAAAATCTCTTCTAGTTCATATTTTGGCTCATAACTTTCCATATGCACAAGTGACACTCCACCCGCAGGTAGATTATTATGCAGACACGTCTGAGGATTGATTAGATATGAAATATGAAATTCTACACTGAATGGTTCACGAGATCTACTTTTCTGCTTTCCTATGTATTCCAGTCAAGGAGTGACCTATCAAACGGTTCGTCTCCTTTTGGCCAATCTGACGATGTGCCTGTTTTTTATGTAAGTCTCTCATATTCCAAGATGTGAGACATAGGGGAAAATGGATTTTAAAAGTGTTTTATCTGGTTCTTGCTTCGTTGGATTGCCTTGAACTCCTGGGAAGGCTTGTGTTATCTTTTCCGAGGTGTGATATTGCACAGCTCTCTGACAACCAGGCACCTTGAGACACTTCCAACACACATGTCCCTGTGGATTAACAGAGGGAAGGGGGAGAATGAGGGACAACATGGAGATTTCTTAACAAAATGGAGGACTGCGTCAATCTCTGGGTGTACGATTGTGACACTTACATTGCGACACTTACAACTTATTACTAATGTCCATATAAAAACATATGGGTAGCAGTGATCATAACATCAGTGGCATACCTGTCATATCTGGTAATGGAGGCCAAAAACGTTTAACACTGCCCCACTTCCTTCCCCCTGCACACATAGAATAGTGTCTGCAGCACCTGATTGTGGGTGTGGCCAAATTACATGAATAGTGGGAGGGGTTTAAAGGGGTACGGTTAATAAATCCTGAGCCTACTCACTGTATACACAACGCACGCCACAATAGTTGTACCTACACATTCAGAAGTTGATAGCTCAAAGTGCAGGGCCTAGACTGGCCATAAATTATACAATTGTACAATTTTCCATAGATTTAGCAAAACCACACAATGTGAGGTCAAACCTAACCTAAAGGAATTGAATAAGAAAATTGTAGAATGTATGCTCAGCCTTTAGAAGTGGTTAACACACAGGTCACTACATGGAATAAACCAAAAATTGCACCCTTCTGCCAGTACAGACTGTAGGTAAAAACACTGCAAAATATATTCCATGGGCAAGGAATCTAACCCTTTTTCTGCCAGGGCAGTTTTTTTTTTCATGTTTTTAAGAAATCATTTTAGGTCTAAAGTCCATGGAGCATAAAGTGAAGTTCCAATTTGTCACACAATATTTATGCAATGGCTTATTGGTGCAAAATTCAGTAAAAATATATTTAATTTTAGGACACAAAATGCAATATACATGTATTACCCCTTATTTTGGTGAAATATGAAAGATGAGGTGCCAAATATAAATGGATACCCAACCTTTTATAATTTATTATATTTTTTTTCTTTTTCTAACTTTTTCACTAAAACTTGCATACAAGAAGTCTTCTATGTGATATGATAAATAAGGGAGTCCCGCTCATCTGACTTTCTTGCCGGATTGCTATAGAAACTACTTCATGGCATGGATTCAAGTAACCCCTCCCGCTGGGAATTCCTCCTAGATGCTATTCTCCCAATACCCCCTTGTGGATGAATCCAAATCTCCTATTTTTCTCTGTTCCAGTTCCTTCACTCTGGGCTGTTGGTGGTGTGCATTATTTGGCCCACATCTGTGAGAATTGCATCCCTAAAATATGACATCCTCAAACGCCAGTTTTGCCTAACTTCTATGTCTTCCAGATCCTTCAGCTACACCAGGCTTTGTCCACTCAATTTGGAAGTTCACCTCTGATTATACAACAGTTTTGATATTGAATCACTCCTCTGGGATGAGTCTCTTCAACCCCTCTGAACCATATATAGGACCTTGCAGCCTACTCTGCATCATAGTCTGGACAAATTGAGATCTTCCTGGCTGGTGGAGCTGGATAGTGAGGATTGGGAGGAAATTTGGGAGTGCCCATTTTCCCAACTTGTTTCTTCCAGGGATCAGCTGATCCAGTTTAAAATTCTATATTTTTATCTAGACTCCATAGTATTTACCTGAACTGCCTTCCACATTGCTGGTATTGTCAAGCAGAACTGGCTGATTATTTCCATATAATTTGGTCATGCCCCCAACATTAAAAAAAAAAAAAAAAAAAATTTGCAAGCCTCTGACCAAAAGGTTTAATCGACTATCCCCATCCCACTATCCCCATCCCACAACAAACTGACATCTGCCTTGGACTGGTGAAAGCTCTGGCCTCCTCCTGGGCTGTTCATACACCACTGAGGTTTTCATTTTACTCTAGGAAATCAATTATTAAATGGAAGTTTGGAAAGGCTCCCAGTGTGGGATTTTGGATACATCTTGTAATTCTGCCATACACCTTTTTATAAGGAGACGTATGTCTCAAGGCTGCACAAAAGTTCCACAAGGTGTGGAATATCTGGCTAGAGTCGGATGCTGCCACTGTAGATCAACAGGACTCTGGGGCCACTACCAGACCATCAAAGCATTGCCTATGTTCACTCCCAAACCTGGGTACAAAGGTACTGAGAGCTCCTTGACCCATAAAGTGATCAGTGCTGTATCATCCTAGAGTTCCTGAGGCTGTGTCTTGGATGGTGGTGAAGGGATGAGTTATCCTGGGTCAATTACTCTTTGATTAGCCATAATTGCCTCAGCGTGGCAGTATGTGTGCTCTATGAATAGCAAGGATGAGTTAGGTTTTTGTTTTGGTTTTTTGCTTTCTGTTTATGCACTTTGTTGTATTACCTTGAGTCAGGATGCCCAGAGGCTCTTTTTGTACTCTTACCTTTACTGAAAACGCTACAGAAAAATACATAAGTGGTCAGTATAGTGAACTTGGTGCTGTTTTCACTTTAAAGTCAGTACAATGGTCCAGGGGGTACTCTGTATGTGGAGGTTAAAATTTTCTCCAGATGTAGGCTTCTTCACAATGAGTTGTCAAAATGTGGAATGGATGCTCTTAAATTAGTTCTGGCCAACTTTAATTTTGCGGTAGATAATGAATTCATCTCAAGGTTTGACGTGCATTCTGGGAGTGCTTTTCTGGTGACTATTTAGAGTTGAGTTACTATAGCCCTTTCCTTCAGCCTGAATCTTAATGGCCATTCTTTTCTGACCTTCCTCATTAAGGTGTTTAGAATGTAATGCCATCTGCGGAACTTTACTACTCGATGAATTTTCCTACGTTCTCTGAAGGCTATGCATGAAAATCCTATGAGCAGTTACAAAATACTGATACTAGCCCATTCAACACCAACAATCATTCTGGTGTTTTGATGTGAACTAATGCTCCAAACTCTGTACATATGTGGTTGATTACAAGCTGGAATTTGTTTGTTTTAGGGTAATTATGCACTTTATATATAGTTTGCAGTGATATTTATAAAATTTAAATTTTTTTTTTCTTTTTTTTTTTTTTTTCCTCACATGAGTGCTGTGACACTGGAGTGTTTTTTTTTTTTTTTTTTTTTTTTGATGATACACGTGTGGCACTTTAG